GAAGGGTCTGCATTATGGCCCAATCTGTACAATGGAACAGGTAAAGGATAAATCCCACTTACTCACAACTCGTTCCTTAAAGGTGAGAAGGCAGGACTTTTTATGGGATAGCTAGCTAGCTAGCTAGAAGGACATAAGATTAAGGAACAGGTTAGGGCAAGATATGTACTTGTGAAGAAAAACTCTGCTTTTCCTTAGTCCTCCAGGAATAACACAGTCCAGTCTCTTCAGGTCTTCTCCCCACTTAGACCATAATTCCTAACAAATGCATTCTGAGATGTTTCCCCTCAAGCACTACCACCTACACAGCCAAACCAGGTCATGTTCCTGCAGATACTTTACTACCTAATGCACAATGGATCTGGCCAATGGAGATGCCCAAACCACACCAGGATAACCTGTTTTCTCAACATTGACATCAACAGGTGAGCACTGACACCCCATCCACAGACTAACTTAGCTTTCTTCTTATCATCTCATATCAAATAAAAATTAACCCATATTCAGCTAAAAGGCACCTTAGTAACTGTGATGTATCCCACGTCAAACAAGACTGAAAGGAGGCCAGAAACAAGGCATAAATAAGAATATTTACTATCAAAATTCAAATTCCACTCCGATTGTTATGTTAAATACATGCCACTCAAAAGTTTTACATTCAGTATTGCTCTCATGATATGTACTTTCTCTATGGTTTGAGGATTCCACTCCCAAGAAATGTAAGGCATGTCTACAGCACAAGATGGGAATCATGTCAAGATTTAACCATGTCAGAAGACAGGTTTCTGTATAATTTTGTATTCTGTATTCTCCCCTTTCCACCTGCAGTTCTCCCTGGTTTCAACTGCAGGAAACAAGATGCCCCTCTCAGGATAAACTCAACACTCCTAATCTCAAGCCCGCATACCACCTTCCTTGGCCTCCTCTCTCCTCAGCCAAGAGGCTAGAGGGGAAGTACTAAATTCCTCCCCAGACCTCCCTTTATAAAGGGCAGAAATTGGACTTCCAGCTCCCTCCACTCTCCATGTAGTGCTGTGCCTGTTTTCAATTCCTCAGAAGGCACTGGGCCAGAAAGGACACCCTCCAGCAGGTCCTACCAGATCACTAGATCATAAAGGGACCCAAGAAGACTTCTGGCCAATCCCTTCATTCTACAGATGAGAAACCCGAGGTCCACGGGCTAAGTAACTTGCCCAGGTTGTGTCACACAGAGATGGCAGCTCCCCATTCAGACACTCACATAATCCCTTTGACTCCCCGGCCTTCTAGAGTCATATCTCCTTCTACCCAAGGGGCCAGGGACAGAGAGACTGAAGTGGGCACTGTCGTTGGTAACACCGGAGTCATAACAACATACCTGTCTAACCAAAGCATTAACGTTACCGCTATGTTCCAAACCTTATTATACCAAAACGGACACTGGGGGCCTCAGACAATAAAGGTACTCATTTTAATGAGTATATATAATATAGCACATTAAAAAAACTCTGCATTATAAATTTGGCCAAAACCAAGGGTCAAAGTTAACTATAACTAAATACTTCTCTCCTGTTTACCCTTTCCTAGGGCTTATAGCTAGAAGAAAAATAGGATATTATCTAGTACAAACTCTAGATAAGGAAACTGAATCCCAGGGAAGTGAAATGTCTTGTCCAAAGACATAGAGGGTAGAAGGAACGGGGCCCAGACTTTGAACCCATGTCTTCTGACTCTAAATCCTGGGCTCTTCCTACTAATTCCATGTTGCTGCTTCTGTCCTGAAGCTCAGAAAAGCATCAGATCAAATAAAAGCTTCACAGAGAACCTCAACATAAGCCATAAAATCATTGTCCAAAATGGGAAACGCAAGCTAGTCTGACTCAAATCCAGCCTGAAGCTTTCCTTTTCCGTAGACCACAATCCCACAGACCACAAACTATGTGGTATGAAAAAAAAAATGGCCCTCTTTGTAAAAGGGCTAATCTGGCAGCACTGTAAATACACCACCTCATACAAAGCTAGAAACCCTGTAGACTGCCAATACTAACTAGGATGAGAGGATGAAAGCCTTTGCTGGTCACTCATTAATTGCCTCTGCCAACAAAGGGGTGTGTATTGTATTTGGGGGTGTTTGTGATAAAGACTGGGATACTATATATAAATGCAATAGCTTTAAAAGAAAAATTAGAAAAAAGAGCACTTGTGGCTAGGAAGGACTGCCATTTAAAAATGTCCATGTCACACAGAAATCACAACAAAGGCAAGCCCTGGTACTCACCTTACTCAGGGAAATAAATGAGAGCATATGGAAAGCCCTTTGGGTTCCCGAGAAAAGTGAAACTGTTCAAATTCAAGGAATGAAGTTATTTCACTAATAGGTAACACGCCACCTTCTCAGAGATTCTGCCTACATTTAGAGATGAGTCCAAGATCTGCATTTTTTACAGGTCCTTCCAGCCCCCTCCCCTCCAAAAAAGCAGAAATCCGCAGGCACACAATCAGATGAATCTGAATTCGGAAAACATAAGTAGCAAAGGAAATGAGGGACATTCAAATTTATAGAGTATATTTAACACTTTATATCATATTAAAACATATATAAAATGTAATTAAAATTATAATTTCTCGGCCCCTTAAAAAATGAGGTTTGTTTCACCTAAAAAACAAGAAATTTCCTTGAGTGTGCTGATCAAAAAGTTGATGAGAAGTCAAGGCAGAAGCCCCGAGGTGGCCCTAGACTAGAGTGGCTACTAGTCTTTCTTTTCTTTCTAAAGGGGTGAAGAAACAGGCAAAGAGACGCTTGCTCAGTGAACCAAGGCAACAGACCAAGCAATGCTAACTCCCATTGCTTTGCTCAGGTGATAGACTGAAGTTTTGTTCCACACCAAATAGTGGAAATGTGATGCACTCTACAAGCCAATGATCGCCCCATGTGGCAGAGCACAAGCCAGGTACTAGAAAGCACTCGCAACCGCACAGTCCCGAGCATGGGCCCATTGCCCATTGCACCTGGTCTTCAGGAACTATGCTGTCTTGGGAAGACTCAACATTCAGGCACTTCTGAGGAAGCCTAAAATAACCCACCCAAATAACACATTTTCTCTTACCTACCATCCCCAAACTGTACTACACACAGTAAATGGAGTGACCTTCAGATCAAGTTAAGATTGTTAGCACATCACTCTCCCTCCATCGGAGGGGAATGACCACAAAAATTTCTTACAGCTTTCCAAACAAGAAGTTTTAAGGCATAGGATGCCGCAGAAGTGTTTCAGTAAAATTCTATCATTCACAGCAGATGAATCCCCTTAAAATATAGGGGAAATGACTTATTAAAGACATTTCTTAGAAAAGCAAGACTCACAAAGCATTCTTTTTTTCTGTAATGCCTCTGTTAGTGTTTTAACAGATATTAAAGGCCAAATACCAAACTAGAGTCCCAGAGTTGGACCTGTAGGGCCACAACTTCCATAAGAAGGAACAAATCTCATGAAAGCCTAGTCTTAATGGGCATTTTGCAAATGAGAGACTTATTTAGGGATAGGGATCAGTTATGTGGTTAACCTAAGCCAGAGAGAGAAAAGAAAAAGTGGGTCACCTGGTCAAAAGGAAGGTGGTGATTTTATTTCATTACTATTTGTCAATACCATATTTCTGCAACTAAGGCACCTGAATCTCAATTTATTCGCTGCTGAACAGAATCGTAGGCATTATTTTCGCTAGAACAAGACAGGAGAAAGTTCGTTCAAGAACATCTAGTTCAGTACTATTTTTTCTTCCCCCCAAAATAAGGAAATACAAAGTCACTTGACCAAGGCAAACAGCCAGCCAGTAACTATTGGCATCTTCGATTTGATTCAGTTCTACAAGCACTTAGCAACCATATAATGTCAAAAAAGAAAAAGTCCCTGCCCTCCAAGAGCTTACCTTCTATTGTGGGGCACAAGGGTATGTATATTTGTGTGCTCATAGATACCAACAGATTCAAGGTAAGTAGAGCTAAGTACAAAATGCTTTTCAAATAATGCGGCTTTTTGGCACAGCAGAAAGAGCACTGCTTTTGGACTTCAGTTTCCTCATCTATCAATCAAGCATTTATTAAGCGCTTACTGCCTGTGAGACAGTGGGAACACAATTCCCTTTAGAGACAAACGTAAAAACCTCTTCAGCCTAAGGAGCTAATAAAGCGCTTTGCAAACCGCAGGGTCCAATCAATAGCCCGCTATTGTTATCAAGGTATAGTTCGACGTGCTGAAGGGAGGACGCCCGCAGTTGGGGGGGGGCTCCTCAACTGCACCCCCGCCCAGGAGAGGGGCTGGGGGGCGGCCAGAAAGGGGGGTCCCGGGAAGCTGGGGGCGTCGTTCGGCGGGGCGCCCCGGGAGGTCCCGGCGGTTGTGGGAGTGGGGGAGGCTCAGGTGAAGCCGCGGGGGAGAGGAGGGGATCAGTGCCTCCTCTCCCCTGCCCGGAGTCCTTCACGGGGACGCGACAACGAAGTCGTCCCACTCCGCTGGGCTGCCCGACGAGCCGAGCCCGGGGCGGGGGTAGGGGCGGGGAATCAAAGCGAGGGAGCGCGAGCTCCGGGAAGGAGCAAAGAGCGCGAGCTCAGCCGGGGGAGGCGGCGGCGCGAGCTCGGGGTGGAGAGGGGCGGAGAGGAGCGGTGAAGTGCGGAGAGTAGCGCGAGCTCAGGGCGGGGGCGGGGGGTAGTAGCAAAAAGCGCGAGCCCGAAGTGGGGGGAGGAAAGGAGCGTGAGTGGGGGCGGGGGGCAGAGCGAGAACCCAAAGCAGCGGCGGCTGCGCGAGCCTCGGGTAGGCTAGGACCCCCCGCGGCGCGGCGGCCGGCCGGCCCAGGGCCAGCGCGCGGGCTGGCGGGCGGCCGGATCGGCACCTAACGGCCGGAGGAGCGAGCGTCGCCGCCAGCGGCGGCCGGTAAGTGATCCCTGGCAGCAGCCCGCTCTCGCTCAGCCTCGCTCCCTCGCTCGGTGGGTCGGTCCGGCGGCCGGCCCTCGGCCCCTCCGCACTCACCCGGGGGCTTGTCCTCGGGGCTGTAGAGCGCCGAGATGTGCAGTGCCGCCGCCTTCTCCCGCACCGCGCACATCGCCGCTCCCGGCGGCCGCGGCTCCCCCGACGGCAATAAGCGCTCGGCCGGCGCGTCCCGCGAGCCGGCTCCCTCGGGCCCGCAGGGGGGTGGGACTCTGGCAAGCCCCGCCCTAGGCCCCGCCCCCTCCGCCGCCCGTGCTGCCCCCGTGCGCCGGGAGGAGGCGCGGCACGAGGCGGGGTCGCCTCTCCCTCCCACCTGAGCCTGGGAGGCCCCGCCCTCCGTCGCTGCGGGGCTCCGAGCGGCGGATGGGCCGGTGCAGGCCGTGGGGGGGGGGGCTGCCTGCCCGCCCTGCCCCCCGCCCTCTCAGTGACAGCTGAGAACGCCCGGATCGGCCGCCCTCACCTCCGGAGGTGAGGCACGGATCTGGGCAGCACAGCGGGCGCTCACCCCGCGTGCATTCCTCGGCGCACCTGGCTGTCCTAGGGCTGGGCACGTAGGAGGGAATGGGCAGAAGCCTCGGACCAGGGGGAGCTTTGGCACGGCTGTCTGTGTCTCGTACGCTTTGTACAGTCATGCCTAGAATCCCGGTCCCGACCCTTTCTCAGCCTCGGGCTTCTCCTGCAGGAAACCTTCCCCGCTCGCTAAGCAGCCCCTTCTCCCTTGCTGGAGCTGTCTTGCAGGCTGTCCTCCCCCAGCGTTGGCCTGCAGCCCAGAACCTCCTCGGATGGAGAGATTGCTTTGTTTGGTCTCCCCAAAACCCGCCACGGCCCCTTTCCTATAGTAGGCGCTTCCCACCTGGCTGAATGGAATTAAGCTTCCGTTTTCTCATTTGTCAAACATTCACCCTCCTCAACTCCCAGGGAAGGATATGGTGCAGTGCAGGCTTCCAGCGGCTACAGAAATGGAACCTATTTTTCAGGGATGGTTTGCGTTATTATTATGAAATAGAACTTTAGTGTTTCACTGATAACTCTTATTCTTTATCATTCCTTTGCATCTCCATCGTTGTCTCCTCTCTTGTACAGAATTCTGTTGCCATAAAAAAATTAAAAAAAAAAAAAAACACTTTCTCTTATCGTTAAGCAAAACAAATCAACATATTGGCTGCCTCCGAAAAAAGGCAGGGTCATTCTTCACCTCCATTCTAACCTGTATCAAGCAGAGTGTTTAAATCTTTCATTGTTGTTTGTCTTAACAGTGCTATAGGGGCAGCTAGGTGGCGCAGTGGATAGAGCACTGGCCCTGAAGTCAGGAGAACCTGAGTTCAAATCCGACCCCAGACCAAACACTTACTAGCTGTGTGACCCTGGGCAAGTCACTTAACCCCAATTGCCTTGCCAAGAAAAAAACAAAACAAAAAAAAAAAAAACCCAGTGCTATAGTTATGGTACAAATTGTTTTTCTGATTGTGCTCACTTCACTATTAGTTCATGTAATTCCTCTCAGATTTTTCTAATTCTGTCCCTTTCATCATTTCTTATGCACAATGACATGCCATTATATTCACATATAATTTGTTCAGTTATTCCCCAGGTGATGAATAACCCTCTATTGTCCACTTCTTTGCACAATTGCTGCTGTAAATTTTCGTGTGTGTGTTTCTCCTTCCTTTCTTTTAACTCTTTTGGGTATAAGCACAGTAGTGGTATTAGTGGATCAAAGGGTCTGTAGAATGTAGCGTCTTTGGAGGTGTAGTTCCAAATTGCTTTCCAGAATGGTGGTGCCAATTCACAGCTCCACCAACAATTCATCAGTGTGTCTTTTCTCCCACATCCCTACCAACAGTTCTATTTTTCTTTTTTAAGATCTTTGGCCAGCATGATGAGTGTCAGGTAGAAGCTCCCAAGTTGCTTTAATTTGCATTTTCCTTGTTAGTAGTGACTTGGAATATTTTCATCATATGGTTATTGATGGCCTGTTTTTTTTTTCTTTTGAGGAACTGCCTGTTCATATTCTTTCACTATTAATCTATCAGAGAACAGTTCTTTTCTAATATATTTGAATCATTTCCTTACATATCTTGGATATCAGACGAGAGAAACTCATTGCAAAGATTTCTTTTCCTAGTTAAGTTTCCCTTCTCATTTTAGCTGTATTTATGCAAAAGCTTATGTAATCAAAATTGCCTATTTTAAGAGTCCTTAACTCTCTGATTTGCTGGAGAACTCTTCCCATCAGTAGTTGCAAAAGGCACCTCCTTCCTTACTACTCTAAGTTTATGATGTAACCTTTTATTTTTTTTTTAAGTGAGGCAGTCGGGGTTAAGTGACTTGCCCAAGGTCACACAGCTAGTATGTGTCAAGTGTTTGGTCTGAGGCTGGATTTGAACTCAGGTCCTTCTCACTAAAGGGCCGGTGCGCTATCCACTGCGCCACCTAGCTGCCCCCTGATATGACCTTTTATATCGATGGCATATAGCCATCTGTTAATAACCTGTTAGGGTATATGGTTGAGATATTTCTGTTTTTCTAACCAGTATCAAATAGTTTTTATGATTACTACTATGTAGTATAATTTGACCTCTAGCAATCCTGAGCCCCCTTTCCTCCCCACTTTTTCTCATTATTACCTTTGAGATTTTTGACCTTTTGTTCCTCCAGATGAATTTTGTTACAGATTTTCTAGTTCTCTAAAGTAACTGCTTGGTAGTTTGTTATGGCACTGAATATGTAAATTAATTTAGGTAAAATTACCATTTTAATTATATTGACATAACCCATCCACAAGTAATGAATACTTCTTCAGTTATTTGGACCTTCTTAATTTTTGTAGAGAATGCTTTGTAGTTGTATTCATGTAATTTCTTTATGTGTCTTAGTAGACAAGTATTCCCAAGTATTTTGCAATTCTGTAGTTATTTTGAATGAAATTTTTGTTTCTACCTCTGGCTTTAGTTGGTAAAATACAGAGAAGGTTGATGATTTGTATGGATTTATTTCCTGCTACTTTGCTGAAGTTATTGTTTCAATTAACTTTTAGTTCAGTCTCTAGGGTTCTTTATGTAGACCAACATATCATATGTGGACAGGGATGATTTTGTTTCTTTGTTGCCTATGCTTATTCTTTCAATTTCTTTTTCTTGGCTTATTGCTATAGCAAACACTTCCAGAACTATGTCAAATAGTAGCAGTGATAACAGATATCCTTGCTTTACCCCTGATTTTATTGGAAAGGCCTCTAGCCTTTCTCTATTACATATAAGACTTGTTCTTGGTTTTAGATTACATTAAGGAAAGATCCATTTGTAGTTAGGCTTTTTAGTGGGTTTTTTTTTAACAGAAATAAGTATTTTGTTAAGAGCTTTTTCAGCATTTTTTTGATATAATGATAGGATTTTTTTCTTGGATAAGCTTCAAGAGGATTGCTGCTTACTTGTCTTACTTCTGAGTGCTTAGCAGGATGACCTACACATAGCAGGCAATAATAAATGCTTATCAAATGAATGCATGAATGTAATGAATCAAACTGTATATTTGTTATTGTAGCAGCGAAGAGGGGACCAGAGAAACTGTCTTTACTGTTCTGTATGGATTTTAAACATCATGAAATATGTAACAATATTTCGTTTAATGTAATCTTCAAAGATTTATTTGGAAATAATGAATACAGATCCTTAAGCTGAACTAAAGTAGAATTATTTCTTACTGTGTGCATAATAAAAAATTGCTTTAAAGGCATTCATGAATTTCATTTCATGATTTTTAAACAGAAATTAAAGAAATAGACATATTAAAAATTCTAACATGGTTTCCATTTAAATTCAAAGCCTTAAACATAATGTGAGAGCTTAAGTAGTTTTAATGAGTTTGCCCATGGCTTCATTTCAAATTCAAAAGTTACATAAAAGTTTTCTTGTTAGTTGGTAGTAGGGGGGTGGGGGGAAGGGTTGAAGAGGAAAGAAAGCTCCATTGCTGTGAAGGAATTAGAGCAAATCCTGTTTACTGTAAATATTTCATAAAAATATTCCAGTTATTCCCAGTCATCCCCCTTTGTCCTTTATATGTCGTAAAGTAACAATAACCCTTTTCATGGGGTAAAGAAATACATTAAGGGGCTGTTTTATTTTTATTTTTTTGCAATATAACTAGTTCAGTTAAAATATGTACAGTTCCAATGTTTAATTAACAAAAATCTACAAATATTAAAGCCACAGGGAGGCAGTATGGTACAATGGAAAGAGGCACAAGAGCTGAGTTCAAATTCCAGTGTGATCTTGGGCAAGACATCTTCTTTAGGCCTCAGTTTCCTCATCTGTAAAATGAGGGGCCTGCACTAGACCTCTAAGGTCACTTCTAACTCTAAATCTATAATCCTATGATAACACTTTTAGAATATTACCCTAGTGGTAGGATGACACTCTAGTAGTTTAGAGTAATAAACAGGATCATTGTTACCCTAATTTGATTTAGATCCCAGGAATTTTGGTCTAAATTGATTAAGCAGCTATTTCCTCTTTTAAAAACAGATAATTTAATCTTCAGTTTGTAAAATTTTAGTGCTCTAGTTCTCTAGCTTGGAAAAACAGTTGTCAAGCAAGCATTAGTCAAAAAGACTGAAGCAGCATAGTAGGCCTTTGGGCTACTGAGTGAGTATCAGTTTTAGTAGCTGCCCTCAAGGACTTCACAATTTAGTAAATTCTCATCAGATACTTCCTGGAAAGGTAGAGATGAATGACAGTGGATATTGGCCCTTCTTGTGGAGTGAATTTTCTTCCAGTGGAGGAAATTTAAAATAAAATTCCACAAATTACCTTACAATCAGGAATGAATCACAGTGAAGTTCTGTCTTCAATTTTATCGGCTTTGTTCACTGCACTGTTTTAGACAAGTCACTAACTAATGTTATTATAGTTATTTTGTCTGGACATGGCATATCTTAGGAAGAATTCAAGATATTTCAAAAAATGTGACAGTCTATTTTCAAATAATTATGAACATTGTAATACAAAATGACTGTGTCAGATCGACATGCTGCTTTATTAAGAAAATTTAAAACATAATCTTGCCTAGTCTGTCTACAAAATTAATGTAATGTTCTGCTTTTACATTCATCTCCTACAATTAAGGGAATC